TCAGTTTTCCTTCCTCGTCTCTCCACCCCATTGACTTTGGCTCAAGTACTGTACCTCTGGATACTGAGCGTGTAATTGCCGCCAGACTGATGATTGTTGGTGACAGCGTTTTATATGTTACGACAAAGCATCGCTGGTCGGAGGAAAAACTCGGTGCATGAGACTTGACAAACAGGATTGCACGGGCCTGATCTACAGTAGTAACATGCTGAATAATATATATCTTGTATATGAACAGCTCTGCCTCTCTTGGGGTTTCTTGTGTCAGGTCACCTCTTATAGGTTTACGGAAGAGATTATTGTGCTGTTTAAACAAGTCCCTAATATGAAAGATGTTGTGTTTGACCCATGCATCAACAAGACCCAGATGACTGCATATGCTTACCTATAACACCACAAAAGTTCATCAGTGTATGTAGACCACTAATCCTTACAGCAGTATGATTAGGCTATTTCAGTTCCAGCTTCTTTCACTAAATCACAGTTCTTATACTCCAGACTGTTGACAGTTCTAAGACGTGTCCTTTCCGTGTCATAAATTTCAATTCACCGACAAGTCAGTGCAACACTAGATCACTCTTCTTGGTGTTTACTGCTGTGTCTGTAGCAAGGGCCATGGTATTTATCTTTAGCAGTTAAAAGGTCATTAAATAATTGTTTTTATTATGCTTAAATCGTTTGCCGGTATTGGTGGAATAATTACCAAAACTGTATTTATATACCGTATGTATTAACGCATCAGGACATGAGTGTATCTCAGCTGGGACGACCCGTTTTCTCTTAAGCGATCAGAGTTACATATTCTAAAGGCGAGGTTAATGGTATTACTGGAGAATTACCATTCATAATTTAATGAAACAATTTACGTAAAATCTGAGAAGTATATAGTGTGCTGATGACATGTAAAAGCTTATTACAGTATTACCAGGGGACAGTTAACAGTAAAACTAGATTAAGAAATTACACCACACTTCCTGGAGATGCTATTTGAATGATACTTAATACAAAAATGGAAAGTACAATGCACAGAACTTGATCTAACCAACCTAACCTTACTTAACTTCCTCCCCCAGGCATATTAAACAAAAACACCTTACTTTGATATCAGGTACCAATAAAGAGCACTTTTCTTCAACTAGCAATGTGAAATTTTACGGTTTTGGAGGGGACGTAAGAGTTGTCTGGCGTATTTTGAACACTTGCATGTCCTGCCAACTAGTCTATGTTGACAGATAAACTCTTGGAGACAGTCTTCATCCTCCACAAGCACAGATAACTTACCATACGATACCGAACACGACGCGATAACAACACCATTGCATAACAAGATGATTTACTTCCTTAGTCCTCGAAGGAAGACCAATACGTATACGAACATACTGTTAGTTCATTTTGAATCCAATACTACTCGAAAGAAATTGGAAATGTATCCAAACCCATAACATGGGATTAAATTCCAACTACTGCACATGAGTCTCATCATTTATATTTAGAATAGATTCAAGAGCCAATTGCGCGAAAAGAAAAAATAAGGGATTTGCGCAAGTCATAAACACAAAACCCCTTAAGAGTGAAGTCTATAAAATTGAAAACAAAAGACAATCAAATTAATATTTATGGTAATAATACTTCAGATGTGAAGCTCCGTCCTTATTGTTAATATTTACAACGACGGAATTCCAAATTTATTAGTTTAAGAGCAGACGACAACACGCGGCGCCAGGGGAGAATTATCGGCTTAATATTTACGGTAAAAAAAAAAAACTACAAAGCTAAAGACGTGAAATTACTGCCATATGATCAGTTTTTTGCTGTGTTTTATTCCGTAATTTCCCTCATATATCATGTCCTGCCTACTACGGGTGATTTATGATCGTAGATACAGGAAAACGGAACAAATACTTAAAATTGAGAAAAAAATTGTATGGAAAACATGAAAAATTTTTATAAAGTCGAACTGGCGCTAACTGTCTGCCCCACTATTATCCCTGGGGTAGCTGTTATCTATACAGTTAGTCACGAAAAGAGATTATGTAAATCATTAGCGGCTATAGTTCGTTTGACCTGTTCGTTCAAACTTTGCAACTGAGGCCTAGGGTCAGTTTGTATCAAGGCGAACGGACACCCAAAGAGTCACTACAGTTCTTCAGTATAATTTTAATTTATAGTATTTATATTATAATATTTCAAGGGATAATAACTACAGCACTCGTGTTGATCTCTGATAATTTCCGCACTTGAGGGTAGCAAAATTTAGCGAAGAAACAGTTGTTATAATGTTATTACTCCGCTTCAACAACTAAGGTCTTTAGGCGTATAACAGGCTTAGTAATTATTATATTCCATCAACAACTAAAAATTATGATAATAAACAGATAAGCAAAAATATATCAAGTCGCCAGGTCCTGATTACAACTTTTGTGTGACTATTAAAAGTATGCAAGTCGTATCACCTTAGTATGCCTTTGGCGAACTTTTAAAAATAAGCTGATCACAGTTAATGTATATCTTCATTAGAATATTAATTAAACCATCATATGTATTGGGCGTCATTAGAGGATTAGCTTAGGGTCAATTTCATGAAGTGACTGATCATAGTTGGTGACAGTGCCAAGGCTAACCTGTTCATGTTGATTAAACGACCTAATGGCTGGATGCACTTAGTCTATAATAAGTGAAAAGCAAATAATGGACACATAGTCTTCCTAGAAACTATTTCCACCTTCCTGTGTAATAAATACTCATAGTTTATAACATGTACTCTTACCAGGCTATAAGTTAACTGAAAAAAACAATAATATACACGTTGTAGGACGCCAATAGGAAATTATTGTTACATTGCGTGTTATCAACTTGTCACACGGCATAATACATAATGTTGTCCCTCAAACATGCACCAATGATGGGCAATAATTTGTCTTATTCTACGTGCGTTGAAAATATCCAACAACTATGTAGGTTTTGTTATAGTTTTTGTTAATTTCCCATTTGAGGTTTTTAATATTACTATTTTATCTTACCTATTTCAAACTATATACAATGTCAGAACCGGTCGTGATGGTTTGGCAGGTGCAGACACATTAAGTAGCTCTCTACGGTACTGATAACGAGTCTTGTTGCTTTGAAAAATAATTTTGGAATAAATCGTCGCCAGTATATCTAGACCGTAAGATAGAAGTTAATTATTAGTATTAGAACACGGGCTTATATTTTGGGCAACATCTAAGGTATAGAGAGGTCCCAGGCTACTTGAAACTATGGGCAAGTTTCTTTACGCCATTTACCTCTGTCTACCCAGCAGTAATTGGGAACCTGGATGTTACTGGAATTACGGATCGTATTCCAGGGTAATGGTTCGCCAATGCAGTTGGCGAGTTGTCCGGTTTTCTTGAACAATTCCTTGACGGCAACCATTATTATGTGTAGGATATATTCGAGTTTAAGTGTTTGTATGTGTTTGTTTGTATGTGTTTGTTTATTGTATATGTGTATATATTTTCATTATAAACGACTTCTGCTATGCTGGTGTCATGCTTCATTTATTTTCTGCTTCTGATAAGTAGACTGGTGCTTTCTATTGAATGCAATTTGCAAACTACATTTTATGTTGTATGAAAATATTGTTTGTCTATGGAAATTCTGTGTATAGGCTCCTGCAGGATAATAAAAAGTTTGTTTCTGTTATACACATTTCATATTTTTATGCTGCATGAAAAAATTATTCATTGTGAATATTTTTTCCAGTATTTCGAAAGTTATTGTCAATAGGAAGAAACAATCAATGCTTAAATACACTTCAGAGAGTTCTTCCTAAATAATCCCCGCTTTGTCCGCCCCCCCTCCACCTTTCAAAAGCAATCTACGCCCCTGTCTGCGTGATAATTTGGCGAGGTTGTACAGTACATATGTCCCCTCGTGTTGGTGGTGCGTGACATCACAAAGAAATGTCCCGGGTTCACGTTTTCCATCCTCTTCAAGGTTTTGACTATTTCAATGAGATATTCCCTATTGTGCCATAGGCTTATCTGAAGAGCCGCTAGTCCTAAGGCCACCAGTCTCATTGGATAATCGAGATGACTTACTGTAGTTCCGGAATCATCTTAGTCGCTCTGTGTTACATTTTATCTACGGTAGGGATGTTAGTTCTTTCTGGAGATAAAGTTTCCATGTGTGGTGGAAACATGATACAATTTTAAGGTAGTAGGATATAAGTGTTGGAGAGGACAAGGGTATATATGATAGTTTATGCATGTAGAGACCCATGATTAGTTCCCGGTGCAAAGAGAAATGTAATAGGCGTTACTGATAATACTGTTGAGGAATAACTTTTGTTAAGTATATCCGGGAATGTGAAATATAAAGCCATTGTTGAAAGACTTGTTCCTCTAGCCAAGCATGCGGTTAGCTGGAGAAAAGGAACATTTATTGCCGTTAATGATAGACAAGGCATATGAAACATTGGACATAAAAGCGATGTGGCAAATACAGTAAAGGTTGTTAGTGTGTGACTGGTAAAGTACATTTGGTTCCTGGTGACCGTGGGACTGCATAAAGGAAGTACAGAACCGCCCGTGGAAGGAGGTAAAGGAAGGGAAAGGAAATATGATCAAGAGGAACACACATCTGATTGTTCTGATTTATTCTGAAATTCTTATTTTAAGTTCAGTATGTTAATCTTTCAGCTTAGATTTTCTAAATTTTTATCCTTTATAAATTCTAGTTTACTCAACACCTACACTTTAATATTTGACCAATTACTGTTCCTTTTCAATTATTTCAGTTTTTAAATCGATCAGACATACTTTCGTAGTTTTTTACAAATTATATGGGACTCTGATCTAAATTTCTAATTCCATTCTTGCATTATAAGGTAAAAGTTATACAGACAAGGCTTCTTTGACTCCCAATCCTGATCAAACTCCTCATCATGAAAATACAAGATACTCAGTAAATTAGATACATCTTCATGAGCTTGTGATGAGTGAGAAAATAACGGAATATTCAGATGTTAAGACTTTAATTATTTGGCATAAAAGACGTCATATTGTAAGAGCATCTCGTACATTTGGTAATCACCTAAAATTTCTCATTGTTCGTTGAATAAAACAATTTAATGATTTAACATTACGTTCTGGTAAAGATGGTTAGCTACGGTTAAAGACCTTGACGTTCACTTGTTTGAAGTTGGGAAGGCGAGTGAAGATGCGTTCATCGTCAACACGACGATCCAGTGGGTAACCATGTGGTTGGTTGTCGGGATACACTCCTCGGTAACCATAGTGGTTGAATTTGGTGTTTGTATGTAGGTTTTCTACAGCAGCGTCGGCCTCGCCGTTGGTCAGAATCGCCACCAGGGTAAACTCGAGACCTTTTGAATTACCCTTGGGAAGCAAGAATCTGTTGGGCAGCCCAAGTGCACTCTCAAAGTCGTGAAGGTCGAGCTCGGTGTGGTCGGTGAGAGCATCCTCAGTCCTGTCCATCAAGTATTGGAAACTGGGTACATCATGAACAGTCACTGACGAGTCACGAGATCTGCGGACGATGTGGTTCTCGCGAGGATGAACTGTTGAGTAGAAAAATAAATATATAATTAATTATATAGAATATTACTTAATAGTATCTGGTTTCATTTCTACATGAAGATAAGGAATTGCAAATTCTTGTTTTCTATTCTTATACATATCTTCCTGGCGAATTAATCTATATCAACATTTTTGGGGAAACTTAAGAGAGAAGATACTTACGTTTTACCCAGAACTTGTCCATTTCGATGGCATTCCAACGGCCGTCGGTGAATGAAAATTCGACCCCATTGCTATCCTTGACTGGCCATGCGAAGATGCGAACAGTGGCCAGGACATCTTCTTCATGTTCGTTGATTACATCGATGTTGAATGTGAAGTCGTGGTGATTCAAACGAGGAACAATAGTAGAAATTTCTACATCGTCAATCTCAACAGTGTCGTCAACAGCATTAAGGAGACTGTATTCGAAATCTTCAAAGTAAGTTTCCAGGAGCCCACTGGTGGCAAGATTATCAATCTTCACACCAGGGAACTGGAGTTCCTCCTTAGTGTAGGGAGTAAGAGAGTCTTTATGTTCCCTGAAGATATTATCCATATATTTGTGTAGTCTGAAGAAAGCTGGATCACGAGTGGCAGTCTCAAAGTGCTCCAGCACTCCGGGAGGAAGGTCATATTTACCATGAGGATCTCCCTGTCGCCCAAGCATCACGTGGGCTGTATTGTGGAGAGCGCCATAGTACTCGCTGTTAGGACTGTACATGGAAGACTCAATGACATCACCTAGGATATCAATACCATCTTTGTCCCTGATGTCGATAATGGATCCATCTCTAGCAGTGATGAAACCATGAGCAATAGCATCACGAATTCGACTTTCAATAATGACCATATCTCGAACATGTGCAACACCGTCCACATCATCGAAGTCAGTGTTATCGGGGCGAGAAGGGAAGGCGCCACCGTACTTGTAGGATGCATGAGGAGCAAAGCCTTCTTTAATGGTTTTTTTCCAGTGAAGTTCCTCCACAGGAGGCAAGTGGTTGGACAGACGCTCGGCGTCGAAGCGAACGGTAAGTTGGTGATGAACCCAGAAGAAATTTTCACCCTTACGGTCTAGATGATGGCCCTCTACTGAATCTTGCCACCAGAATGGGAATTCCATGTGCCAAGTAACGTGGTGTGTGTTCATGCCAATGTCTTCACCGAAGTAAGCCACGTGTTGCTCTGGGTTCCTTTTGCTTCCTGTAAAGTCTGACCTGAATTTACTGCGTGTTTGGGTCATCTTCGCATGATAGGCTTGTTCGATTACTTCACTGTTTGTGAACAAATGTGGGGTGACTTCATAAAGTGGGGGAAGCACAACATGCTCAGTCAGATGAGAGTGGATGACAGCCGTGTACAGGGCGTAAACAAATTCTCCTTCATTCATGTGGTTTCTGAAATAAGCGGCATTGCCGGCGAAGGTGTTCCAGTCTGCCGAGTGTTCCAGAACCTCGTAAAGTAAAAGAGCTTCTTCCCTCTGCCGAGTGTTGAAGAGTGAGAACCAGTGTTTCTGCTCCAAAAGCCGGCCATCTTTGAGCTCTTTCATAAGTGCATGAGCTGCGTGTCCATCATCAGTGTAATGAGATGAGGAAGCCTCAGGATCGAATGTTTCAGCGAGATGCTTTAAGTGCTCATCACGAAGGACCTCATACACCTTGAACAGAAGAAAGTTGACGTCGTGCTGCTTTTGTGCGACATTCACTTCTGAAACTACAACAGCAACAACAACATATTAATAAAAATAGTCACATTTCCAGGTGCTCATTACACGTTTATTCGACTTCATTGAATTTAATCATCCAGTAAAGAATGTCACAAAGTTATATACAGTATTTCACCGTTCACAGGGTATGGCTAGACGATGTATTATTACAATCTTTTGGTTTATTAAACTCAAACCCTCTGTTAACCTTAGAAATAGAACAGTAAAGTTTTTCATGGTATTTATATATATAATTGGATTTCGATGGTCGAAAATACTTCATATTATAATCAAGTTAAAATAAGAAAGATTATAATGTGTATCATCCAAATTGGAAATATTCGTGAGCTAACAATTGAAATGGGATTTTTTATGAATATATATATATATATATATATATATATATATATATATATATATATATATATATATATATATATATATATATATATATATATATAACAAAAATAATAATAATATTAATAATAATCGGGCGTGTATAATGCAGACAATGCTTGGCAAAATCTGTTTCCAAATTATATCAAATTAAACTCATTTGACTTTACTGTTGCTGTTTCGGAATAAAGTTATAGTATAGAATTATTATTGTAATGTTTAAGGTAAGTCTATATGAGCGACTCTAGAATATAATTATATAAAGCATGAAACTAAGCTGAAGCACAAGAAAATATTTGAGAGGTTCGGAAGCTGACTATCTGCGTACTATTACATTACAAATGACCTTATATAGCAAAACGAACACACCAGCAGGAATATACTTGGCCGACACTTTAATATGATGACTTAAACCCATATCAATGTGATTAAGTCTCACACTCAAGGGATTAAGTCATCGTGCTCAAGGGATTGTCATCGTACATAAGGATTTAATGTTATATACTAATGCATTCAGAGGAGTGGCATCGTTCTCGAGGGGTTAAGATATCTTAGTGACTATTATACTACACTATATTGTGTGCAAGGGGCTCATTGTTTACATTTGGAATAGATAAACCAAATGTGTTTTTAGATTTACTTAATAGATATATTGCCGAGTGTTTTTAATGCATAAATGTGTTGCTTCCCACATCTTACTTCCACTCATTAACTTACAGGTGGCGTCTCTAGTAAATTACAGTTTTAAATAATGAAATAATTTCTTTGTTCGAAACTAAATATATTTACTTTAATAAAGGCAATAAACACATAAAAACAAATAAAAGGCAAAGACTACAAGAATATTGCATCACTGTTATTGCTTTTACTAGAATACGTTTGTAAATATTTCATTATTTGCTTATATCTACGTTACTTAGTTGAGCATAAAATTATTTGCTCATCTCACCTTGTTGAAGCAATATTTTGAGGGTAACTTAAAGTAGTGTGAATAAATGGCAAGTTATACAATATTACCCAATTAGTTCTATTTTTACCAGATCAGTAGTGGCTTTCATGAAATTCGATGTAATCAATAGAAACCAACTTAGTATGAGTGCTTGCCTAATGCCTCAATAACTACTGTGCAGAAATTAAAAGTTTGAGGGCAATAATTTTTCAGTGTTAATTAATTTTTTAAACTTTAGAGATTAATTTATTACTGATGATCCACTTTCTGACACTGGTTAAGTCCTGAGTCATGATATGATGCTCATTAAAAACTAAGACTTTGATTAGACGAGAGAGATTACTGCTACCTGTAAATAAGGGAACGTTTTGATCATCTGCATCAACATTGACGAATTTTGTATTGCAAACAAATTCTGTAGTCGATGAAATACGATATTTTCGTTAATTTGCTGTTTCCGTTCATCTGTCCTTATTTTACATTAGAGTTAGGTGTAACGTATTTCATAACAATGCCTTGCGACCAACATTCTACAGTATAATACCAATGTGTGTTTAATCTTCAAGACATTTGCTTATCTTCTCACATTTTCAACTAGCTTCTCACTGTATCTAGAATGGACTGTATTTCTTGTATGTAAACATTATACAGTTAAAACAAGAAATGTATAAGATACTAACCAGGGGGGCTGTCACTCTGGAAACCCGAGCTAGCGGCGGTGACAACCGCCAGAGCACATAACACCAAGACCTTCATGTTGACGATGGTGAACGGTTACATCCAACGTCCAGTTTTATACTCGGAGATATAGGTCGACCCTGAGTCTGTGGAACTGATAACGGTGTTGCTACTCGAGGAGTTGCGGCTTGTTGCTGCCTCTGTTGCTACTCAGAGATTATAGTGTTTCCCCAATCGCTGCGCCTCTTCTCCATTTTCTATCAACATATTTGTTTTTGATAAATACGTTATTGGGATTAATTGGTAAACAGTTAAAGTAAGGTACAGTGTCTCGGTTAAAGCTGGTAAGTTAGATTTCTTATGATTTGAGTATGTCTAACTTTTTCTATCGAATTCTATTATATCCATATTGGGTACAGGTAATAACAACGCTCGTAGGCCCGGGTTATATCGTACCTCCTTCAGTTGGTACATGGAAGTCCGCGTGCTATATTGACTGATGATATACAGGTATATTTATCAAACCAACCATCTCTCAGTTAATCGTGGGAACTCGCTGACATTAGAACCACGACTGCATTAGTAACTTATTGGTGAACTTGTGCCCACGGATATGTTTGCAGAACTCTTGAGATATGGAAGAAATATATTGTGGGTTTATAGTATAATGGAGCAAAAAGATTTCTCATTCAGAAGAAGGGTTTAAGAATTCCTTTTTTTTTATCACTCCAATAAATCTAAATTTAATATCACCCTGTAAAGTGTTCCCTACAAGGTAAGGCATCAAGTGGTGTTGTACCCTAGTTTACCCCTACCATCTCACCCTCTCCCACATATGCTTTATTTGGCATAGATTAAAGGGTTCACTCAAGACGTCTGTAATCACATTATCTACTACTTCAAGATGTTCACCGCTCAACAGAAAAAAACACAATATCACCTCCTAGCAACTACCTCACCCTGTGCTGGCTAGACACTTCTGTCTTCTTTTTTATTCTCTTTGACAAAAATCAATTTATGGCATCAAATATCAAATAAAATCCTGCAATAAAAAAAATCTTCTTGGACTCGTCATTGAAAAAATTGGAAATATAAACTAAAAACGATGAGCTATGCTGAATTATTGAAACCCATATCGCAGATTAAAGCGCACGGCAATGTTGAATAAAAAGAATTAATATAAATTCAAGGTAAAGTGTGAAAAAAAATGTTGTCGGTGGGACTTAAATAATCGGGAAACGTGTTCAGAGTGTTATAAAACAACCGTCAACCCATAAAGGCAAATAAACGCCTCTCGTAAAGCTGTACATCAGCCGATTTGTCAAAAACTGAACAAAATTCAATCACCGACTACGGCCTTAACGCTGACACAGTTTCCTAGTTCTCAATGGTGTGTATAGTCTCAGAACTCTACAGTAACTATGTTGCATCAGATTTGTTTTTTAATCAAACATAAAAAACACGATAATGTATACATAAACTATACAGCAAACATAAGCTTTCTTTCACACAGTGTCCTGTACAAAACACAGTGGGTTCACTCACTAGTTTATATTATACCTGTGTGTTATATTCATTTGATCACCCTCGTTATCACATAATATTCTGAAGCAAATTACGAGTAAAATATCTTCCATTCTCGGAGGTTTAACTCTTGAGTGTGGCCCACGAGGTAGTAGTGATGCTGATGAGTGAGTATTAATGCTTTGGCGGTAAACCTGGATTCGTATAGGTTAATAATGTAAACAATGAGTTGAGTTCACCTTGTCGTAAAAGAGCATTAGCTGGATTTAACTTAGAGCCTAAAAAAATTATGTTGAAAGCTGATTTTCTTTCAGTATTGCTTCTTTATTGTCTGCCTAACACTATGAACTAAAGTCCCTCTAAAATACTACTTGAGGAAAAGTAATAATTCCAAGATGTGCCGCCGTGGTAATTCGTGACTACTGTATTTGGAAAACACTAAAAGAACCATAACTTTCTTATTACTTATCACAGGAAAATAAATCTGGGCTCTAGATCCAGGTTTTAGGGTATAAGGATTTCAGTAGAATCATCAGAATTTAACTTTCATGTAGAAATTTGTACTAAAATGGAATAAATGTAGATTCCAATGCTAGATAGTGAAACAAATTGGAACACAGATATAGTTTATTCAGAAATCTACTTGTGTTAAGAAATGGATCATAATCATACATAGACCTCACTCAGCCACTGGTAGGTGTAATATAATAAAAATATAATCCAAGATGTAACATAATGATTATATAACATATAACTCAGTGTATAACAATGATACTATACTGTAGCTCCATGGCTTAACAATAGTAATATAACTCAAAGGTGATACATAATTATTACTCCAAGACCTAACGTACTGATCATATAACTCTAAAGTGTAAAATAATTATAACGCCTATGTTGTCTCTGTTGGGGATTTGCATTCTTCGTCTCCAATTTTGTTCAGCACTGATATACCCAAGATGCTTTCCAAGATCCTTTTGTCTGACATGGCCAAGTTAAAGAGTAATGAGGTAGCCACAGAAATTGCACATCTTCTCCATCGTCACTCAAGACCTGAAAAAGAAAGAGGAACCGTCATAATCTTGAGACACGTTATCAGCTTTCACCTACGGTATTCATTGGAAGTCATATTGCAATGAAGATCACAATGTAGCTTCTTTCAGAGTTTTCTAAGAATTAATGCATCACAATGAAGGAATATTCGATGTATGGTGACAAAATTAACTCAGATTTAGACTTTCATCGTTCTACTGATTTCGTCAAGCCCTAATACCTGGGTCTAGAGCCACCTTGGATTCTGACGTTTCTATAAGTGATATTTTAAAGGATGTTAGGGTGACATTAAAGCACCAATTCTGGAAAAGAAAAGATCAGCTTTCTATATTTTTTCCTATGTTAAAGCTAATGCTCCTGGACTGTTATAACCTTCTTGGATTGAGAATGGTAGAATATGGGGCATTACATGAGACTTGATACCAGGACATGTTTTGGATATTCTGGTCTGGATCGTCTTCTTCCTCCATGATTAAACATCCTGAGTGTGGATACAAACCTTGCCCCCGAACTGTTAACATGTTAGGTGAATTATCGTACAAGTGACGCAGTTAATGAAAGTTATTGTAGTTACCGCTACAGATGGTTTCTTGTTATTGTGTTCTTTAGCCCCGGAAGAACTGTTATCATTATCCGGAGTGTTACCACGGCAATACTTGGTCAATTTTAACAATATTTGCATCGAAATGTTATAATGTGGACCTTGTTACAAAGTAATCAAACCAGCCTAGTTTGGAGCAAATATTTTCTCGAAGTATTTTTAGGAAACGCATAAATACAAACAGACAGACAGACCGGAAGACCTAACCTGGCCCGGTAACTTTAAAAAAGGTGACTAATTCAACAAAACAAAATTCATGCCGATTTTCTCTGAGTTGTTATAACGTTATTACTGCGCTTCACCACTGAAGGGCTTTAAGCGCTTGACAAGGTTATTATTTATACTATACGTTTAAAATATCATGAGATAAAACAGTTACACTTAGTTAAACCACATCTAGGGGTCGTTTGGCCTATGACAATATATTTCATGAGGATATGCAATGTGAAGAGAATTCAATATAACTGCTAACTAATGCTGAATATAATCTTTCCTATAAAAGAGTATAAGCGAATGCCAATTATTGCCGAGCTTTTAACTGCGGCAACAGCAAACATAACGTGACTTTGTGACTGATTGACTCATTGACGAGAAAAAAAGATGTATATCTCCGCTGGACCTTGCCACTAAACTCACTCACGGCTTCCCACTTGTAGTGAAGATTTTATCACAAATAAAATTAAAAAAATAGAGTGTTTTATAGATTAATTTCTTCGTGTACTCACTTATCATTATTACTATGGTACGAACATCACAACAGATAGCTGGGTAATCTACACCAATGATTATAATGGAATTTCAAGTGATTTATACCTACGTGTAAACATGCAGGTATATTGCTCTCTGAGATATATAATATGATTGGTTAAATTATGTGGTAGGAAATGTTAGTTTACGTCAACATTAAGACACACTGAGGAGCGCAGGAGGTACGGTATAACCCGGGCCTACGAGCGTTGTTATGGATATAATAGAATTCGATAGAAAAAGTTGGACATACTCAAATCATAAGAAATCTAACTTACCGGTACCATCGTCAAACTCATCTTGACTTTACCAGCTTTAACCGAGACACTGTACCTTACTTTAACTGTTTACCAATTAATCCCAATAACGTAATTATCAAAAACAAATATGTTGATAGAAAATGGAGAAGAGGCGCAGCGATTGGGGAAACACTATAATCTCTGAGTAGCAACAGAGGCAGCAACAAGCCGCAACTCCTCGAGTAGCAACACCGTTATCAGTTCCACAGACTCAGGGTCGACCTATATCTCCGAGTATAAAACTGGACGTTGGATGTAACCGTTCACCATCGTCAACATGAAGGTCTTGGTGTTATGTGCTCTGGCGGTTGTCACCGCCGCTAGCTCGGGTTTCCAGAGTGACAGCCCCCCTGGTTAGTATCTTATACATTTCTTGTTTTAACTGTATAATGTTTACATACAAGAAATACAGTCCATTCTAGATACAGTGAGAAGCTAGTTGAAAATGTGAGAAGATAAGCAAATGTCTTGAAGATTAAACACACATTGGTATTATACTGTAGAATGTTGGTCGCAAGGCATTGTTATGAAATACGTTACACCTAACTCTAATATAAAATAAGGACAGATGAACGGAAACAGCAAATTACCGAAAATATCTTATTTCATCGACTACAGAATTTGTTTGCAATACAAAATTCGTCAATGTTGATGCAGATGATCAAAACGTTCCCTTATTTACAGGTAGCAGTAATCTCTCTCGTCTAATCAAAGTCTTAGTTTTTAATGAGCATCATATCATGACTCAGGACTTAACCAGTGTCAGAAAGTGGATCATCAGTAATAAATTAATCTCTAAAGTTTAAAAAATTAATTAACACTGAAAAATTATTGCCCTCAAACTTTTAATTTCTGCACAGTAGTTATTGAGGCATTAGGCAAGCACTCA